CTCATGTTTTTAAATGAAAAATGTACTCTGTGTGATTGGCTTTCCACCCTTTGTATTAAACTATGCATACATGATGCTATTTTATTTATAGTTGTTTAAGCAACTTAATTATAATTGGTTTATAAACATTATTTTAAACATTATGCACTTTTTTCCACATATAGTCATGTTATCTTATGCTTTGAATAAACGTGCATTAGTAATATTTTGCTCGATGCGCCCTCTTGTGGCCTCAGAAGAGAAGCCAAAAGCTTTTCTTCACCCTAACTGAAATTATGCATTTTAAATTCAAATATAATTTGAATTTTGATCATATTGAAGTACAAAATTCGAATGTAGTTTTTCAGCCATTTTGACAGCCCTAGTTAGCAAGAGATAAAGTGTGTTTCTGCTGAGATATTTAGACGAGCAGAAGATCAGAAAGCACCTCAGTATTCCTCAGCCACAATTACAGCTGCCGAAATATTCAGTGATTTCTGTAAGGAGACTGCAGCAGAGTTCCCGGGGAGAGAACCAACACACTTGCTCGCTCGCTCTCTCTCCCCTTTTTGGTTCCCAATATCACAGTTCTTACTAGTAGTACAGAACATTTAGATATAGAATGCTATTCCTTAAGTGTGACTAGCATTCAAAAGTCTGGGGACGGTTAGATTTTTTCATTTTTATTTTTTTATGTTTTCAAACATCAAACGGTCTCTTAAGCTCAACAAAGCTGCATTTATTTGATCATAAATACAGTAAAAACAGTACCGGTAAAATATTACAATTTAAAATAACTCTTCAATTGTAATATTTAAAAATGCTATTTATTTCCTGTGATGGCAAAGCTGAATTTTCAGCAGTCATTACTCCAGTCTTCAGTGTCACATGATCCATCAGAAATCATTCTAATATGCTGATTTGCTGCTCAATAAACATTTCTTATTATCAATGTTGAAAACAGTTGTGTTGCTTAATATTTTTGTATAAACTGATACATTTTTTTCATGATTCTTTGATGACGTTTTAGATCTTTTTTAATGACTTGTTTAATTACTTGCATAAAATAATGGAAGCTTTTTACTTTAATTGAAAAATACCTAAATTCCATTGGTTCCTTTGTTCATATTTTACTTGAAGTGGTTGTCCAAAAGCATCCTGGTTTTTGCTGTGCTACCAAGAATCATGAAACTTCACTGGTATTAGTATCATCTACTGAAATGACCCTACAAACTACCCATTACTATTGCATGTTTGTGTCCACTCAAAACATCAGGCTGTTTCTTTGAAGTGAGAAGTGAATGGTTATTATGCTCAGTGTGCCTGCATTCAGTCATGGATAGGCTAGTAAGTCAGCAATCTTCATAAAACCATGTTTTCCCAGAATATGCATGCATCCACATCCAAACTGTCCACTTTACAGCACAAATGGCCATCACTCTCCTGCCCGTGCCAGAAGATGGAGAGGTTTAATAAAAATGTCTGAAAGGCACATGGTTAAACACATCCTATCACCAATAACACACACACAGAATCTCCAATGGTGCTAGTGTATCCATAAAATAACTGCTGCAAATGACACATGGCTGCAGCGTTTCTGCATACAAGACCCGATTTTGACAGCTCCATCTTTTACAAAAGAAAAGACAATGACTTTCTGAGATGAAACCTTTTCTTTTCAGGCTCTTTCTCAAATACACACACCTAGGTTATGAGTGTTTTGTCAGCGTGATATATTCTGACAATCCCTCCTGATCTAATATACAGTAAAAAAATCTAATTATATCATAACTTGTTCGCTGTATCCATCACACACGCACAGCGAGTGGAACATCCGGAACATTCTGTTACAGAGGACGCTGCTGGCTGCTCCCACGGAGGGAGAGAAGGAAAATCAAGAGAAGAAGAGATTTAAAAGAGGACAGCTGAAGACAGGAACACTGTGTCTAATAACTTCAAGTGCAGTCCTAATAAAGGCCTGACAGTAGTAGGCAGCAGACTGTGTGCGTCTGCAGAGGTGCTTTTGACTGCTGGGATTTTTTGCACCAAAAATCACAAAAATCACACTGAGAATGGCTCAAATTTTCATTCACTGCTGCTATGGCTAATGTTACTTTTAT